GGGGGTTTTGTGTACAAATCTAGGATTTCCCATTTTGTTGGAAAAAAATTAGAGGATGCAGCTCCAGACATGAATTAGCCATTGGTAGTCATGACCTGGGGCTGAATTAAGGCTAAACCCCTTTAAATAGCAAACATGGCCCCCAGTTTATTATGCCGCCACATCATTAATTTACTTATGTTACTTGTCTGGTGCTTGAGTATGTCATTCTTAAATTGCATTTCTCCATCAGACCAGTGAATAGAATAAATGTGACCAGACTCACTGACTTCTTCCTGGTCTTATTTTCACAGGCTATTTACAAGGCTGACTTGGAATGGCTACGTGGGATTGGGTGGATGCCAGCTGATTCTGTTTCTGTCAATCATGCCAAGCATATGGCAGACATCTTCAATGAGGTATTCCAAGATCTTATCCTGACAATTCAGCACATTTCCTAAGAGACTAAACAAAAGTACATCAGCTCACATGCAGTCATTCCCTAACAGCAATTACAATTTCAATTGCTTTCCTTTCCAAAATAATCTTGTACTGTCCCTGTCACATTGTGGGACCACACCCATAAGAATACCTATAAGACCACTCAGTGATGCTTGCAATTGTATAAATGGAAAATTTTCTTCTGTCCTCAATGGCAATACACATGAGAGAAGTTTGAAAATTGAAAAACACACATACCTGAGGACACATAATGATATATTACATGATTTGGGGAGCTAAGCAAACCTGCTACCTTAAAATCTGTGGAAGGTATAAGATGTCAACTCATTTGTTTAAAACTAAAATGCTAAGAAGAAAGCCAAATTGCCAAAAAGATGCCATTGAAATATGACATTCTACACTTCTAGTACAGACACGCCCTTAAATGCAGCATATCTTGTTCAGGACCAGAGACAATGATTGTCTAAAAGAGATTTTCTTTCCCATAGAAAAAATATCGCACAAAAATAGAGACTCTCAACTTTACTCCTGTGGATGACCGAGTTGATTATGTGACAGCAAAACATAGTGGTGAAATCCTGAACGATGTAAGTACATGATTATTGTTCTAAAATGGCTCTGTTAAATTTTTAAATAAAGATGATCTGTTGGGTTTGGAAGATGCCATTTCCAAAGCTCTTCCACGTCCTTATGCTCATTGTACAATCACTGTCTGAGATACAGATTGTAAATATTGAGATGACTGATGCTAACAGTTGCTTGGACAACATTATGTGTTCTTAATATCAAGGAACTTACCAACTTGCTTCTCATTTCTAGATTAAATACCGAAAAGATTGGAATGACACAAAATCAAAGTACACTCTCACAGAAACCCCTCAGCTGCATGCTGCCCAGGAGGCAGCCCGGATACTGGACCAGGTAAGCATTTTGCCTGGACGCCTGACACTTTCTGTGAGGATGGAGGACTATAGCATACCTGTAGGAGACTTAGCCCTCTATTCTGACTCCTCGGTTTAACCCTTTGTCATGGCTCTCTCTCTGTCTTTTAGTATCTCTACAAGGAAAGCTGGGAGAAACAAAAAGCCACCGGTTACATTTTGCCTCCAGATGCTGTGCCGTTTGTTCACGCCCATCATTCTGGTGATGTTCAGAGTGAGGTAAGTTAATTTGATATGAGGGAACTTTGCAAAGACTGGCCATTGCGCTTCCAGGGACCCAGTTATCCTAAGACATAGCACCATGGAGAACTCCTTGTTGGCTGGCAGGCCTGGCCAGCCTTGAGGATGACCAGAGTACCTGCTCCCTTCTTGTCCTTTTCCTGTGGGCTCTTGGCATTCTTCATCTTTTTTTTCCTCTCTGCTTCTTCAAAAACTATTGTTTGAGGTCTTTATTTTTTTCTTCTATTCTCTGCTTCCCTAAAATCTCTAAGCCTTCAAATAAGCTATTGCCAGACGTAGAAAATTACGTGTCTATTTTTCCATTTTTAAATTGAAATTTCTTCATCTCTATTTCAATTTTTTTTGTATTTATTCTTGCGAGAGTAACAAATATCTGGGTCCTGAGCTTGCTTGATGTTTCGAGCCCCCTCTGCCTTGTGTCCTTGTCTAAGTTGATGGAATCTCTGTTCCTCTTCCCACCAGCTGAAATACAAAGCTGAACACGTCAAGCAGAAAGGTCATTATGTGGGTGTCCCGACGATGAGAGATGATCCCAAACTGGTTTGGTTCGAGCACGCAGGCCAGATTCAGAATGACAGACTTTACAAAGAGAACTATCATAAAACGAAGGCCAAAATCCATATACCTCCTGATATGGTGTCGGTGTTGGCAGCCAAGGAGGGACAGGCCCTTGCCAGTGACATTGATTACCGCAATTACCTGCACCAATGGATATGTCACCCTGACCAGAATGATGTTATTCAGGCAAGGAAGGCCTATGACCTGCAGAGTGATGTAAGTGATTTTTGTCTCTTTAATTATGTAGAGGCATATGGTCTACTCAGAATCATAAGCACCAACTTGGAGCCTCCAGTCTTTGAAACTCAGAACCATAAATACATAATTTGCTCTCAGAAGGGAACTGAGGCTGGACATGAAGTGTAGAGAAAGGTTGGGAGCGGTAATGGGAAGCTTTGCCTACTGACTGTGCATTTCTGAATAACATTCAAAGTCAAGTTTTAAAAAATCTGTTTCTGTACTACCATCTCTGTCATCAACAGTTCCTCACATGTGCATGGAAAATTGTCAACTAACTTAAAATAAGCATTGGCTTGGGCGGGAATTGACATTGATTTGGGATTTCAACAGTATTACATGGTAGTGTAGTCAAGACCTGGGAATGCCTCCTCCTTGCTTTGCCAAGCATCTCCTTCCTCTCATGAAGGAGTTGCTTGCAAGGAATCAAGGCAAGAGGGACACAATGTACTGATGAGCTGCAGAAGGGCCAGAAGCCCTTTATGCAGAGGTTGACAATGCTGAGAGAGAGGATGTATCTCAGGTCACCTCCCCCTGAAGCCTGAATCAAGATCTCTCCCTGCCACCAGTAGTCTGTAGGAAACAGAAACACAGTGCATCAGTGTGATGCTCAGAAGCACCAAGAAGCTAACCCTACCTGGGTCTTCTCATTATTACCAAAACAGGATGTCAGATTCTGCCTGCAGCACAGGTACTGAACGTGAACATCCCATCTCACTGGTGGCTGCAGCAGGTTAACCTTTGTGGAACTTTAATCAGATTAGCAACTCCTCTTTATGTAGTGTGTGGTGGCCTGAGAGAATCCAGGAAGTGGGGGCGAGGGTAAATATAGACTGGAGGGGTGGCCCCCAACCCTACAAGACGTGAGCATTTATTTGTGTGGCTTCCTTTATTTTGTCTGAATACCCCACAGATTTCTATATAGCTATATATATGAAGCCCATCTAAAACTATAACTTCTTTGGCAAAACCTTGTCTTATGCTCACAGGTGAAAACAATGGTTCCCTACCCTTAACTCCCGCAGCATCTAAGTGGTCTTCCTCTTGCAGTACCTACCACTGTCTACTTCATAGATAACTTCTCTCTACACTTCAGACACTTTCTTTATATTCATCTCTCAAACCACCTTGCATAGTTCCTCATTCATATTAACAGCCATGAGAAATATTGCTCAGGTATACAGATGAAATCATGTTTGAATCAATGAGACAATAGCCACTAGAGAGAAAGCCTTAAAAATCTTCTGAAAAATTTGTTTCTAACCTGCTGCCTGATATCATGTGCCCGAGTTATTTACACCTGCATTATGTCTCCCTTTCTGCTCTCAGAATATCTACAAAGCTGACTTGGAGTGGCTCCGAGGCATTGGTTGGATCCCCCTGGATTCTGTGGACCATGTGAGGGTTACCAGGAACCAGGAAATGGTGAATCAGGTATGCAGAGCCTTTTCTTTCTGCATAAAGCCTGGCCTCCCTACCTACCATGTGGGGATAGGTACCCTGTAGGGGACCACCTATCTTAATTATCTCTGTTCCTTTCCAGATAAAATATAAGAAAGATGCTCTTGCCAACTATCCTAACTTTACAAGTGTGGTGGATCCTCCAGAGATTGTTCTCGCCAAGATTAACTCAGTCAATCAAAGTGATGTAAGTTTTCTTTGTGTATAATAAGGTATATAAACTGGGAACTTAACTGTCTGTCACTGAACAGACTTTCTTTAACTCCAGATAATGATTTGAAAGAAAATGGAGAGTAAATTATAAGAAAATCTTTGGGGGAGAATGTCTTGAAAGTCACTAGTAGGACATATACTGTACCCCTTTAGATAATATCTAAATTATTATCCCAAACATTTCATTGTGTTAGTTATAACATAAATTATATCAAATATGAAATTTAACCCATTGATTAATCTTCAAATGTAAATATTTTTTGCTAGGTAAATCTTGTGAAACTTTAAATATATATTTAGAATAATCAAAAGTTCTCTTTTGTTTTCTCTCCTCAGGTAAAATATAAAGAAACATTTAATAAACGAATAAAGGGCAAGTATATCTTTTCTCCAGATACACCATATATCACCCACTCCAAAGACATGGAAAAACTCTACAGTACCGTAAGTTCTATTTTATGTGATGTACAACTCAGTTCTGAATTTTAAGCTTTTGTTAGTATTCATGCTCTTGGCTGACTTTATGAACAACTGAACTTATAAGGAGATGTATTATTTTGTTGTATTTATTCTTATTTCATAGCATATTATTCAGAGCAAGTAGTATTTATTCAGCTAGCATTGTTTGAGGCCCTGTGATGGGCCAGGCATTGAGGGAGACACTGAGGAGCTAAAGATCAATACAATAAGACTTTCAGGAGTGTCTGCAAGTGAGGGAGATGATGTGCAAATAAGGTGGATGAACCTAGAGCCTATTATACAGGGTGAAGTAAGTTAGAAAGAGAAAAACAGATATTGTACATTAATGCATAACTTGGAATCTAGAAAGAAGGTACTGATGAACCTATTTGCAGGGCAGCAATGGAGACACAGACATAGAGAACAGACCTGTGGACACAGTAGGGGAAGGAGAAGGTGGGACTAATTGAAAGAGAAGCATGGAAACATATACATTACATATGCAATGTATATTTACATATAAATATATTTACATATGTAAAACAGATAGCCAGTGGGAATTTGCTGTATGACTCAGCTAGCTCAACCCAGCGCTCTGTGACAAACTAGAGCGGTTAGATGGAATGGGAGATGGGAGGGGACATAGGTATACCTATGGCTGATTCATGTTGATGTATGGCACAGACCAACACAATATTGTAAAGCAATTATCCTCCAATTAAAAATAAATAATTTTTTAAAAAGATAATAATGTAACAAGAGCTCTATCACTTCTGGGCACATGTAGGACCAAGCAGCTACCAACAGAAAGAAGAGAGGAAAGGGTGGTCCCTTTTTAGCAATCATGTCCAGATATCTCCAGCCAGCAAGTGGAGGACTTGCTCTCCAAATTTTAATT